TGAATTGGTTTTTGGACACTTTCTCAAGGAAAGATTAACAACTTTGAAATGTTTTTAAAAAGTCAGTGGAGAATGGGGGAAGCAAGTTCTAAGCCATGAGTGGTATCTTTCAGCTATGAGAAGAACTTTATGAAACTGAAGGTAACAGTTTTTCAAAACCTACTTACCCTTTTTCCTATCAGCTTTTCTAAAGACCACTTTCTCCTTCCAGGACTAACATTCCCTTTTGGAGGGGGGAGGATTTTTTTCTTCCTCTCTAGGGCAAGGTAGCAATCCTTTTACCTCTTCCCCCTTAACCATAGGAGGAGGACGGGCAGGACAGGTGAGTACATTGTTTTCCTTTCAAAACAAAGGTGCCTAGGCCTGCTATTCTTCACTTCCTGTCCTAAGGAGTTGGGGCATAATCCATCTCCAAGGCTGAGCGGCGGTGGGGGAGGGGGCTTTGCCTGCCTCTGTGGACTGAGATGACCCATTCCTTGTGTATGTAAGGGACACTAGGGCTATGCTAATACAACAGCTGGGGCCCAGGTAGGGGGACCAGCTGTCCCGGTTTTATAGGGACAGTCCTGATATTATTATTATTTTTCTTATATAGGTTCCTCTTACTCCCCCCCCCCCTTGCTGTCTGGTCAGCCTAGGGCCGCCCAGGCCTGGTGGGGGTCTGCTGGACTCCGCCCAGTGTTTAGATAGGGCGGCCCTGCACTGGGCGCGGCCCTATCAGGTAGCTCAGGGAAGGGGAGTAAAGTTTCCCCCGGCACCTCTGCTCACTGCCGCCCGAGCTGCCTTAGCCCGGGCAGCTGCTACCCTGCAGATCCGTTGTCACCGGTCGCCGGGGCTCGCTGGAGCCTCTGCCTCACGGGACCCCATCCCCAGTGCGCCTTAGCGCCAGTCGGTACTAGAGGGCGGCGGTGTAGAGTAGCTTTTTGACTACTTTCTTTCTGTCGTCTCTATGGCTCTTGAGCCGCTCTACCCACTCACTTCCTCTCTCTCGGTGGTTCAGAGACGGACACAGTGTATACACAATGGGAGGAAGGCGGGCTGGAGAAGGGACCGGCGTCACGTGATCTTCCTGCGTTCTTTCCGCCCGCCATTTTACGTTGGGGTTCGCGGCGGCGCCATTAAAGCGGGAGAAGGAGGCACAGCAGCTAGGTCCGCCGCCTGGAGTACGAGCCCTCGCGGTCTTAGCCGGCAGGCGGAAGCGGGCATCCGCGCGCGCCGGTCTCGTGCTCGCCGCGGCTCGTAGGGCGCGGCAGCGTCATGTCGGAGCAGCAGTTCGGGGGGGACTCGGCGGCTGGAGCCGGAGCCGGAGGCGGCTCGGCGGAGCAGGCGGAGCAGCAGGAGGGGATGGCTGGGGCGGGCGGCGCGGAAGGGGGAGGCGGCGGCGGCGGAGGAGGAGGTGGTGGTGGCGGCGGCGGCGGCGCCGAGTCGGAGGGAGCCAAGATAGACGCGAGCAAGAACGAGGAGGATGAAGGGTGAGTAACGGCCGCTCTGGGCGGGGAGGCGGCTCCCGGCCTGTTCCCCCCCCCATTCCCCCGGCCGCGCGGTGGGGTTTCCCGCTGTTTACATCTCGGCGGCCTGAGGCCCGCAGTGACAGCCGCGGCGGCGGCCGCCGCCAACCCTGAGCCCGGGGGCAGTTTGCGCGGGAGCCCGGGATCCCTGCGTGCCTGTGGCGGGGCTGCCTGTCCCCGCCCCCGCCCGCAGCTCGGCGGCAGTAAAGCGCCTCGGGCCGCGTCGGGAGATGCCGCGCGATTGTCACCGCCCCTGCTCGACCGGTTCCCTCGCAGAGCGGTGCAGGGAGACAGCGGCTTGGTGTGTCTGCAAGTGGGAGACGATGCTGGCCCTGTGGAGGCTGGCTGGGACGCTGTGGGCCGCCCTAGGAAAGTTCAATAACTGCGCTACCGACTAGCTAAACCGCTCCCAGTTCCCGCTCAGTCAGGTGTTGCCCTTAGGCGAGTGCTCCCCATAACTTCTCTTCCATGGGTTGGAGGATCGAGCCCCTCATCCTCAATCCCATAGGTACAGCAGGCTTTTTCCGTCCTGCAACAGCTAAAGGCACCTAGACACACTTCTGTCTGAGGACTTTTTACTCTGGCAGATCACGCCTAAGATTGCTATAACTGAACAGCTATCAAGCATACTTTTGGTTTTCAGTTTACTTTGTGCATTGACTGCATCAGTTACTGGCTAGTTCTGCTGTGAGCAGGGTTAGATAATGCAGTGCCACTGTACCTGAGTCTTGTTGCAATTGTGGATGACACCGTGATAAGACTAACTAATCTCAGGTTGACAGTGTTTAAGTGACTGCTCAGGGTCCCACACTTAGTTACTGGTAGAATGGAATCCAGGAGTTCCTACTTAATGTGCTCTCTCAGCTATTGTTGTGAACTGTTGGTATTCCTCTAACCCAGTGGTTCTCAAACTTTTGTACTGGTGACCCCTTTCACATAGCAAACCTCTGAGTGTGACCTCCCCCCTCCCCCCCAAAAAAAACCTTTTTTTTAATATTTAACACTATTATAAATGCTGGAGGCAAAGCAGGGTTTCGGGTGGAGGCTGACAGCTCACGACCTCCCATGTAATAATCTCATGACCCCCTGAGGGGTCCTGACCCCCAGTTTGAGAACCCCTGCTCTAACCCATCTTCCCTGCACCTTCATGTTAGTTTGTACTCTGCCGGGTAAACTACGCCGAGCCATCAACAGCTCCCAATCTCCTTTTTCTGAAAACCCCTTCCCCGATCTCACCCATCTCAAAATGTGGTATTTTCACACTTATTTATTGCTGCCTTTAGCTTTAAAGGAGGTAATTATAGTATCTAGTGTGAAGTATACATTGAATCCCTATTTTAGGGTTTTATGCTCGGCTCATCATTGTAGTGCCTTCTACGAAAAGTTAATAACAACAGCAAAGTCTTTAGTGGACTTCATGGATTCTGACTCTTCTCAGGATAAAAACTCTGCCTGGAGTATTTTTGTTTGTTTTTAGGCTTTTATTCTCATTTTTTAGGAAACAGAAATGGCATCTTAACTTAGCCAATCTGTTGTCTGTCGTTCAGTCACATCTGCTTTTCATTGCTGCCTGAAATAAGCATTCACTGCTTTTTTCACTTGTAAGCCATACAGAGGCAACCCAGCAAAAGTTAGATGGATTATATTTCTCCTTGTGTCTCGACAGGAGTATTTGCTAAATTCTAATTGCACCATCTTTATTGTTGGTGATGGTACATAAGCCAAAAAGAACTTAGTTTTTATTTTGTGGTTTTTTTAATTGATTTTACGGGGCTTGTAGTATGGAACCTTACCAATGCCATTAGCGACTTTTCAGAATAGAATTGCACTCCAAAACTTGTACTGTTCAGAACACTTAAGAGTGTTCAAAACAATAGTTAAATCTAGATTTAGGGTCTGTGTGGATTGAGTGGTTGAGATTTGGTTGTGGTTAGGTAACACTTCTTAAGTAACCATAACTTTTCCTAATCAAGACAAATCTTTAAATCCATATTTAGGCTTGTAAATCAGTGGCCTATATTTCAGACCTGGGAGCCCGTTGCTGCTCTTGTTGAAGAGCATCTACTCAGTACCTCTGGAAAGTCAGGCCACTTCTGTTTAGGTACCTAACTGTAGACATTGATGTTGGAAAAATTTAGCCAATAATTCTAGTTGGTGAACAAAAAATTAGTCTTTGGGAAGGTGATATAAACATCAAGAAACTAAACCATAACAGAAGTGCAAGATTTTTAGTTGTATTACCAAGTGTGATACTATGGCATGCGCATAATTTATTACTGAGATGCAGTCTTGAGCTGTGAACATCCATCTATAGCCTATTGATATGGTACTGTGCTAATTGCTGTTTTAGCTTGTTTTTCCCTGTAATGTTTTTGGCCCCTTTGCTGGTATCATTTTAATGGCTGCTGTGGGCTCTTGCTCATCTTCAAGTTGTTTAGACACTTAAACATCTGTGCTTGATAGCTAGCTACAGTGATTACACTAAAGTTTATAAAAAGTATAAATAAGTTAAAATTGTAATCCTAACAAATGCTGAAAATTGAATTTTGATCAGTTACTGTATTGGTTGGTTGTTCTCTAGCAATTCAAACTCCTCCCCATGGCTTTCTGAAGCGGCAGCGCCACAGCGGGAAGAATGGTAAAACTTTACATTTATTTCTAAATGCTCAAGGGCTCTGATAGCAATAAATTGAAAAGCATTGTGGGGGGCACCTGTCTGGCTTGTGCCACTAACTGGCAACTATTAATCCCCAGGACAAATTCCCGGTGGTTATTGCTTAAATATATAATAGGATATATGACCTGCGAAACTACAAAATTTTGTATGTGCAGGGTCTAATGTATAGGCTTAAAAATTGTTACTTAAATGGCTTGTGTTCTATGATTATGTAACTGCCATTTAGTCAAACAAGATGCATTGTATTAGTGTTCTTTTATATTAATGGAGAAATATCTAAATATTGACTGAGTGTTGTTAAATGGATATAATGTCCTTCTGATTTTCATCCTAATGCATTTACCTTTCTTTCATTTCCAAGTAAAATGAAGTGAGGTTTACTGAAAGTAAATCTTTTGTTTTAAATAGTACAAAGTGTTGGATTATAAGAGCCATCCTCGTGGAAGAGGCAAAAATCTTACTGAATTTGCTGTAACCAAAGGTTGTCTTATATTGCTTATGTGAAAAAATTCTTAGTGAAGTCAGCCCTTAATCTTCTGAAGACAACTGCTAATGCTTGGTGTGAGATGAGAAATTTTACCAATTTTTAACTAACATTACATTTTAAAGCTTGCCTTGAATTAGTAATATTTAGCATAATATAAGGTTTGCTAAGTATCTCATTACAGTTTACCTTTAACTAGTAATTGAAATTAAATGCATCCAAAGTACCTTCAAAGTAAACAGTTTGATAAGTATACCTTCCAGAAATGTTAAATATGCTGATCTTTTTAGATTAGGCACTGAGTACTCGCCCTTCTATTACAGTTGCCAGTATTCTTTCTGTTTCTGTACACAACACAATAGACCAGGATTCATTGAAGTGTAGTCCTAAATATGTTTGTGATCTCCAGTTCAGTTAGACTCTGCAGCAACATACTTTTCTCTTAAGTACCACCAAACCCTAGTTCAGAGGGGCTTCAATTAACTCAGTTTTCTAATTTGGAATGGCTCCCTCCCCTCCTGGGGGTGACATACCAGTCAAATGGTAGAGTAGAAGACAGGCCCATTGGATGAAGATAACTTCCCTATGGCAGATCTGTCTCCCGCCCTCTGCAAACATGCTTGGAAGCCTCCTGATTTCCCCCCCTGCTTCCACAATGGCTTGACTGAGAGCAGGGAGGGAAATCAGGAGGCTTCCAAGCATGTTTGCAGAGGGCGGGAGACAGATCTGCCATAGGGAAGTTATCCTCATCCAATGAGCCTGTCTTCTACTCTACCATTTGACTGATATGTCACCCCCAGGAGGGGAGGGAGCCATTC